TAGTTATAGTTCTGGCTTGGCTACCTCCGGTCAGTCACATGATCCTCACCTTACAGCTGTAGTGTAAAGTACAATTACTCAAGTACTGTACATGAGTACAAATTTGAGGTACTTGTATTTCCATTTCATGCTACTTTACACTTCTACTTCACTACAATTCAAGGGGAAATATTTTACTCTTTACTCCACCACATTATTTTGACAGTTACTTGTAATTTAACAAAATGAGACTTTACATGCACAGATCAGCCACAACATTCTGACCTCTGACAGGTGAAGTGAATAACACTGATTATCTAGTTATCATGTCAGTGGGTAGGATATATTAGGCAGCAAATAAACATTTTGTCCTCAAGTTGATGTGTTAGAAGCAGAAAAATGGGCAGTGTGAGGATTTGTGCGACTTTGACAAGGGCCACATTGTGATGGCTAGACGAATGGGGAAGAACATCTCCAAAACTGCAGCTCTTCTGGGGTGTTCTCGGTCTGCAGTGGTCAGTACCTATCCAAAGTGCTCCAAGGGAGGAAAAGCAGTCAATCAGAGACAGGGTCATGGGCGACCAAGGCTCACTGATGCAATTGCTGTAACAGTTAATGCTGGTTCGGATAGAGAAGTGTGAGAACACCCAGTGCATCACGGCACCTAGGCACCCTGTTATGGCTGATCGGTGTATATAACACATGTAAACCTAATGTAAGCCCATAGTTGTATGTATGACGCACTAATATAAACCTCATTAAAGGTCCAGTGCGTAACATTTAGGAGGATCTACTGTCAGAATTGGAATATATGTTTTCATTAGTGTAAAATCATCTGAATAAAAGGACTGTTATGTTTTTGTTGGAATGAGCTATTATTATTTATCTACAGACGGATGGAATGAGTTCAGACTTATAGCTGTAACTGAGTATTTTTACAGGGTAGTAGTACTTTTAAAGTGAAGGAGTGCTTCTGACTTCACCATCTTTGTTGTAGTTTGACCATTATTTAAAGTACCGCTCAGTACCGTAGGGGCCAACAACCTATGGAAAGTTAAAGATTTGAACTTTAAACTAATGAATCATTTCAAGGTAAAAAAGGGACAGAATCTGACCATCAGGGTATCCATACAGATTGTCCACAAAGTTGGAGATGGTGTAGTCGAACGAGGCTGCTGATATTCCGTCTTCTCCTTCACTGTCATCCACAAATTTCAGGCCTTCTCCCTGGTTGACACCGAGCAATATGTCGTAGTTCAGGAACTCGCCCTGGTGTCACGACAAACAAACAAACGCATATTTCGCATATCATATCATGATGGCACAGAGCTCGACAGCAATGCTGGGCAGCCTCCACACACCAAATGTAAGCAAATGATCAAACAGAAACAGTGCAATAATGAATCAGCTCTGACCTGCTGCATCAGGATCTCGGGATCATCGGGCACCACGTCCCCGTCTACCACAGGTCCGAAAGCGATGTGGTAGCGTGCGGGCTGGATGTCTTGGTCCACTAGCTCCCGGAAACTCTTCCTCCTCAGGCAGTCCACCACCTCTGCCATGTCCCCCAGAGTGCAGCCAACTTTCCTCGCCAGGATCTTGGTGTACATCACAGGTCGGTAGTTGACAGCCCAGCTGGAGATGGCCGAGCCACTCTGAGCAATGGCCCTCTGGAACAGGCCTACACAGAGCGGGACCATATACGGCAGATATAACTTCAATAGAAAACACACAATCACTTATTCTCTCTCAGTTCAGCACTGTTTTTTTTTCTCCTTCTGACACACTTTTGCTAGCAGCTGATGGGGCCTTCAAGGCCTTACAGTGTGAGCGCTTTCAATAATGCATATGTTGGAGGAGGAGTAGTTGTAGAGTATAACATACGAAGCAAGATGGAGTAGATATTCTGCTGCTTTTCGTAGCTGGAGAAAATCTTTATGACCATTAGTAGCAAAATGAAGTGCTTCCATTACATACAACGAGAGACAGCAGCAAGAAAAATGATGACAACTCTGTGCACAGCAGTGGGCTTGATGGCCGTGTTGGATAAAGCGAGAAAGACAGAAAGAGAGAAAGAAGACTGCTCGCACTGTTGCACCGCTGCACTGTTATGTAAAGTGGCTTGCTGTCCCTCTGTTTTATCTGCAGATTCTGTCATTAATAATTAAGCCCCCCCATATTCTGCATGTGCCCCACCCCCGCTCCTCTCCCTGTGAAATCAATTAAGAAGCCTCTCAGCTGCAGCTCCAGCTTTACTCCTCATCTCATCTCCCCTCTGCACACACACACACAGTACCTTTAAAAATGGTTCACCCTCCAACTTTCTCTGCACATTGTGGTGTCACAGCCTTATTCAAAATGGAGTAGAAGAGGGTTTTTTCCACAAACACATGCATAACAACCACCATTGATATTGTGGATGTTGAACTTGACTGTTAACATGAGTCAAAATTTACCATAATGTTGACCACAATAATCATCACATTAGCAAAGAAAAAGAGCTAAACCTACCCAAATGAATGTGTCATATAAAATATGTTTTAAACAGACAACCATACAAGTCTGTGAGACTGAAGGCTAAACCAGGACACCCAGAGTATAATTTGAACACTAGTCTTTTCGTGTGAGTATTTCTCTTTGGACAGGATGCAATTCAGCCACCACTAGCTGGCAACCTGACAACAACTAACAACTTGGCCACTACTACCCAATTATTGAAATGCTTTTCCATGTCCTCCTGAATGTTTTCCAACTCTTGATAGACAAAAAGATGTGTGTTTTTCCATGCTCAGAATTCAGAGAATCTGATCTGAAAGTACAGATAAAATTATTTTATCTGTACTGTATGAAGAATAAAATTATTTTATCTGTCCAACCTTCGTTTGTCAGCATGGAGGTTAACAGTTCAGTACTAAGATAATCTGCATTCTTGGTAAAATATAAAGTGCCATTCACCTTCTGAGCTCTACCAACCAAGATCAGAGGATTAGTGATCAAACATCTGGTGGGTATTTTAGAGATCTGCCATTGAAAAAAAAAAAAGGAAGGAAAGTAGAGTACAGTCCTTAATACTACAGCAGTTCCAGAGGTGGTGACTTGAGGACGGGACAAGGATGCCGCAAGATTTATTTGCATTTTCTTAGTGGACATTTTCACGTTAATTTTTACACAAATTTTACATGAACTGCATTTTTAGATTATCTTTTAAATGTATCAAAATAGGAATAAACATCTAAATTGTTACGTTCAGTGTTAGTTAAAGTTCAATATTTATGTGTACAGCATCTTGTACTACTGATTTCCTGTTATTTAATCAGGAACCATGGGGGTGGGGGTGCCATGGGAAAAAAAATACTATTGAGGGATGCCATGGCTTAAAACAGTTTGGAAACCAGTGGACTGTACACTCCTTGCTTTTGTATTTCTGTAGGAAAATAAAGGAAGAAATCAAATTTTGTAACAATGGCACTTGCTTGCAACATTAGTGAAACATCATGTGAACGGAAGACTTTGTAATTTAGCTCTTAGACAACTGGAAGATTACTGACCAAAATAGGCACTTTAAACTGCCCAATTATTTTAAAGTAGAAAAGGACCACAAGACCAAAGTCTGTTTGGTTCAGTCCTCAGTGAAACACGTCATTAATGTGCCTACTCAGTATCATTAAAGTAACGGTCTTCTAACCATGTAAAAATATCAAATTCACAAATGAAACTCAATATGATACTGTAAATATGCAATAATAAATATGGGAAGTGTTCATGATGATTTGAATACATATTGTATCTACTCCTAATGCCTTGTCCAAACAGGATTATTTTTATCGGAGAAGGACAATTTTGTCAGTGCAGTTCAGTGATCTTAGTCCCTTGTGGAATGACGTTATTTAGGATTATTACAGGGCTTGTGTTCCAAGGTGAGTGATGGTTTTATGGCAAATAACCTACTGTTTTCATCCATCTGTCGACTCTAGCACTGCCCAGATTGACAATCTGCTTTTCTTTAAAATTACTGAATCTTTGCAGAAAAAATATATACTGAATTGTTCCAAATAGTGCGTGAATCATTTCTGAATATTGCAATAATATTGCCATACATTTTATCTGATTAAAGCTGTTCATTGAAATTACTAACATGCTCTTTAAAGAAACACACAACCCACACTGTCCTCAAATGTTAATCCCCTTTGAGCTGGGTATATGACTACAAATGTGACAACGACAGTGAAAGAACTTTACCCTCGGAGTGGTGGGAGAGGATGAGAAGGTTCACACAGGCGGCACCAGCTCCCGAGCCAAAGATGGTGATTCTCTCTGGGTCTCCTCCAAAGTGGCCAATGTTTTCATTGAGCCAGCGCAGGGCCTGGATCTGGTCCAACAAGCCATAGTTCCCCTTAGCAGACTGGTCCCCTGTGCTCAGAAACCCTGCAGGGTAAATTAGAACAAACACAGAGAGGAAAAGAGAAAGAAAAGTACAGATTATGTGCGGAAAGAGGAGCAGGGCAGAAATTCAGGGGCACAGTATAACATAAGCGTTTATTTCCTTTTTTAAAGGAACAAATATCCCACATAAACAGAAGATGGCATCCTGTCATTGTCAGGAACCTCTCAGCCTCCAACTCATTGCAAGTTTGAGGAGATTTCACACAGAAAGCTTGCCAAATTACTCATTTTTAATACCCACGCTGGAAATACAACACAGTTAAGAGAACTTGTCAGCAGAGAGAGGAGGAGAGCAACAGAAGGCATGTTTCACCTACTTCCAGGACACACATTTACACAGTAGGTGCACTCCCACAACAAGATAAAATAAACTGAACAAAATGTCACACACGCACACAGAATCCTTTGTTCTTATGATAGTGGATTAGTACATTACTTGAGTTTCAAGCAACACCAGGCTATTTCAACCTGCAAAAAGTGGAAGCTTTTCAAATTTTTGACAGTTTGGATGTCTTCAATACCCAGAAAACATCTAAAATGATTTTAGTAAACTGCCCACTCCTTAGATTAGTGGCTGCAGGGGTGGAGGACGTGATCATCATCAAGGTGGCCTATTCATTGCTTAATTCAGTCATATTAACGGTGCTCCTTAGTAGTACTTTTTTTTTGTGTCACTTCCTTGCATGAACAGAATGTCCCAGCAGTGCCCGTGCCCATACCTAATTTCTCAAACTTCTTATGGCTGGCATATTCTTCTATAGCATTAAATGTGTTTCACCTTTTTACTTTACTTTTACTTTTTAGTAGTCTGCGTTGTGAGTGGCGGAGTCTGCCATTCCAGCGTTGGATTTGAATGCTGTTCAAATGGGCATCCCAGGCATTTAGAAGAGGAAACATATTTGCTTTGGTATAAGTATACCTACGGTGTTTGCTTGTCTTCTTCTGTTGTATTTCTGATAGTGTAGCAGCTCGTAGTGAGTTTCGATAAACATGCAATTTTTAATGGAATTCTTGGACATTCTCAGTGTTAACCAATAACTACTGGTCTGGCTAAACCAGTCAGAAGTGAAATTGATATGGCAAACTTATTAGCAAACTGCTGCATATTTACACATCCAGCAACATTATCATTCATATGGTGTTTGGTTTCTGAACACATGAATGAAAGTTTTAGCTTTGTTTTTGGTCTCCACCATCTTGACTCTGATGAGAGCGATAAGACTGAACCATAAGAAGTTGCAGGCCCGAAAACGTGTCACCTAAATCAGCATATTGGTTTATTAATAAATGTTTACTTTTGTAGGGATATGTACAGTATAACCTAGTATACACAAGGTCCCAGGGTCATTGTCAGTGTGTTCGCATTAACTGTGTTGGTTATGATGTGTCTCTCACACATTTGGTAAATACTGTAAAGTGATTCTAGTTCAGTAAGTTTCCTTGTGTAGGAATTGAAAAAGACATATAACTGATGGAATTAAGCAGCTGATTCTAAAGGGCACGTTGAGAGGATGGGACAGCCATAAAGTACAGTATAGGGAGTACACAGAGACAGATGGTAAAAGAGGACAGTCAGCACGTTCTCAAGTGTGTTGAACAGCAAATTAAGTTTTATTGTTGATGATAATAATGTAAGTGATGATGGTAACAGCGGTGATGATGATGATGATGATGATAACCTGCCAAATTGACCTCTCTACAACAATTAGTGTGACACACACATGTCTCATTAGACACTGTTCACTGTACTTACACTACAGTTAACAGCACTTTGGGCCTGGAGTGTTTTTGATGGCTTCACCTGACTTAATTATGATTCATATTACAGAGTGTCATCCATATTCTTTGCTACTGTTTTTCCAATGTGGTTATTTGCTGTAGTTTTGGACAATGCTTATAAAAAAGTCAATCAGAAATATGAGAATGAAATGCAGTGGTTGCTCATATTTTTGTATTTATTTTCATTTTGTATAGGTTTTTAGAGTAAAGTGCCTTATTAAGATAATTTTGGATAGGTTCAACCCTGGTCAACAGCTTTGCCTAAGTAGATTTTGTAAAATATTTTAGCCCATAATCATTTCTCAAACTTAATGAACAAGAATATTACATGCAAAACACATTCAGGATTAAAAAAAAGACACTTGCTGGCTGCAAAAATCAAGTAGTAGAAGAGGAAAGAAAATTACATTGAACATTATTGCCTTGTGATTTGGTACTGAACCAGCATCCTGCAGCATGGACAGTATTTATGCTGGGTATGTTTGCATGAACAAAAATAATTAAAACTTAAGTAGATTAAGGTAAACTTCTACCAGAATGTCAATGAGTCTGTGCCTTTATCTGGATGTCCACCTAGGGATGAAAACCTCGTACAAAATGTTTTCATGTTGGTCCACAGACGCAGTGACCTGGATGTTGGACTTAAAAAGCACAAACATAGACGCTAAAGGCAGCTATGTTTTTCTTTTATTCTTTAATATCTTAGAATCACAACTAAATTATCTTTTTATCTTGAAAGAACAAATTAATGCTTTAGTTAGTCTGATAGTTGCACAACATGCAAACACAAACAGTGATCCAGTCTTGAGAAAACAATAATCTTTCTTGTTACCTAATGATAATGAGATAATGATCATGAGAAACCACTGCTTGATTAAATAGTGATCTAGAGAGATAATAGGATTACTGAATTTATAAGAAACCACAGCTGCTCTCAACTTCCATAGTGCAGCCTGTGTGTAAGATGGATTATTAAAAACATAGAAATCTTGTTATATGAAATCATATCAATGTTGCAGCAGAAATATTACCTTGAAAGGATTACTTTCAGTAACGAACATATAGTTTGCATGTTACTGTGTAATTGCATTATCCTTAGATCATCCCAGCAATTGACTGGATCTTAGCCTGATGTGACTCTGACCTGGTAACGTATCAGCACTGACCTGTGCCGCTTATCAAAACCATAGGCATGTGGAAGTGTCTGCTCCGTGGCTGCCCGGCCGAATGCTGAGCTGCCTTCCACAGTTGCCTGGCAACTGTCCAGAGCTTCAGACAAAATGATATGGACAGACACTCACAAAAGCACTTGCATACACACATTTGAGGACTTCCATATTCAAGTACACAAACAGCTGCATGCATGCGCACATGAGCACAAAAAGTGTATCTAGCATGCTAGCCTGAGCTAGCGCCTCCTGTCGCTCTCTTTGCAAGGGCAACATGAAGAGAAGAAATTCGGTTTATCTTCCACCATTGAAGATAAGTCAAACAAGTTCCCTCTTCTCCTTTCTTTCTCTTTCAGTAAGTTTTCTTTCTGATCCCTCATGTGGAGTTGCCATCTGCTGAGTTGGGCTTCCTACTGACTTTAGCGCTGAGAGCAGCAGTTTATGAGGCTGAACTCATGCATATTCAACACTTGCTTTAGGTAACGGCCAAGGAACTGTGAGGAAGAGTCATTAACCTCTAAGTAAAGATACAGGCTGAAGACAGTAAAATGAGTGGATGACAGAAAACTGAGGAGTAGTGAGCAAGTGATGGAGGGAAATTTGAAACAGAAATATTTACAATATATTCTAGCATGCAATAGTGGCCTTTAAAAAGTTCCTCAAGAACATCTGATAGTAACTGCTGCTTCTGCTCATGTATTCCCTGTCATTGTTAGAAATGTCTTTCAAAAATCTTTATGAAATCATGAAAGCATAATGCATGCTACCACTGAATGCAGAAAATGGTGGGAGCACTTAGTGTTTCTCCACAATGATAAGATGAGTCATGGTAAAAGCCATTATCCCTTATTGATATAGAATTGCATCTGCAATAGGAAGATGTATTAATGTAGAGATCAGACTTGTATCAGAAGATATTTTTGAGAGGAACAATATACAAAAAAGAGGCAGCGGCTACACATCCATAGGATGTTTTCAATATTTAGTGCAGTCCTATTTTGAACAGCTTTATTCTGCACATCTGTTGTCGACCACCTCTCTAAAAGCCTGCACCATTCACAAATTCACAGTCCAGAACTGAAGTGTGGTCAGTCATCTGACTGTTGAGACGGGAACATGCATCTGCAGAGTCATTTTTAGGACTGAACAGAATGACTGCAGTTGGTCACTGAACATATTTCTGTGAACAGAGAATAAAGAAGAAGAAGAGAGGAAGGGGGATGGGGTGTGGGGGGGTGTGGGAGTCAGAAAGGAAAAAGGGATAAAAAAAAAAAATCCAGACATAAGACAGGTATTAAACCGAATATTGCCCAAAGCTACTGTCAGATCCTAAATGACAAAGAGGTGAAAGGAATATATTGAAGGACATATTATATAATTTCACTGTGACGTCACACAGGGGATGATGAGAGATGTCAAAAATCAGAGGGAAGATATTGCCTTTATATACACGCAGAGAAGGTGACTGAGGAGAAGAAACAAAGCCATGTTTCTGTATATATGAGTCACTAAATTAATCAAGCAAACGTAAAGGCAGTATTTCAAAAAGGGTACAAAAAAAAGCCCCTTAGCAGATGGTGATTATCTCCTGCACACTCAAGACTAAAGAATCTGTTTTGATGATTGGAATAAAGTGGATTTTGATCATCCAGTACTGTGCGACAACCAAAAAATTATCTACTGTGTATGAATGTAACCGTGGATGAATATGACCATTCTCTGTACCATATGTAGCATCTACCGATAATTTAACATCTAATTTTAAAAGACTTTTGAAAGTACT